TATTTTCTAATTAGTCTGAAGTCTCTCTGTAAAAATACAAGCAGTGTGAGGGTAATCCTACCTACAACTATGACTGTGGACGTTTCAACAAAAGAAAAAAAAAAATCAGAATCAAAGTCTTATCCAGTTCTGTTCCAGCAAGGAACAATTGCTGGATTTGATAAAATATTGAATTTGTTATTTGGTTAAGCATTAATTATGAGTATAAGAAGTTAAACCAGTACCTTTTACAAATATGGCAAGGGTAATTGCACAAAAATGGTACAATATGAAATTAGTAGACTGGTCAGTTTTTATATATACTTTCCTTCCAGCATTGTTGTTCTGATTTTTAATTTTTAAAAATGTTTTAGATATCCAATAGAACAGTTTGGCTTATGAAAGTGGTTAAAAATTTCTGCCTAATCAGCTTACGGTTGCAGCAGCAAACATAGCAGTAATAATTTGTCCATTGATACATTGTGCTTACGTAGACATGATTCTAACCCAGACTGGGGGGGAGGGGGTGTGTGTGTGTGTGTGTGTGTGTGTGTTTTCACATTTAAGCATTACATCTCAATTTCATAAACCTGGATTCGCTTTTATCTTAACCTTAACCTTCCAGCAGTCATTGCTACACCATACGGACAAAAGGGGCACCTACACAATGCATATTTATATACAGGAGCTGCTCTGCTATGGAAAGCCATGCTATAAAGCTCTGGGCACACAGATTTTGTGCTGATGTTAATGACAGAGGAAGTTTAGAACTCTGCAGTTAGTGAGTCATCAGAGCTCTGATTAATTTGATGCTCTGTGTGCCTGTGCTGTCACACCTTCTTGGCTGAGTTGCTGTAGTTTCTAAATGTTTGCAGCTTGTATGTTGCCACTTACAGATGATTGTGAAATTTCTTCCCTACTAGATGTTTCACAAACTGATTTGTTGTAGTGATGGCATGCAAATTTGATAAGCTCTTTAGAATTACATTCTTTCCTGAATATTTTTAAAAGCAGACTGCATGACTAGGGGCTTTTATACACCTGTGGCAATGGATTAAAAACACCTGAAATCAAAGATTAAGAAAGAGTGGTTCAATCTTGTATAGTGTTGTAAAGATTCTTATTCTATTTACCATTTTTCTCACTCTCCCTCGCCTCACCAGACTTACCTCTTTTGCTTTCTCACCACTGATTGACTCTGGAGTTTGTCCCTTAATTGAACTCACGTGGCACACATAATATAAGGACTGAACTCACTTTAAGCTCCCTCTTTTCACTCCCACATTCGGTGGCAGCTGAGGTGAGTTTGATTTGTTCTTCTAAATTTAAAACTTTATTCTTAAGTTAGTGACTTACAGTCGAACCTTGTTTACTCTTTCAGAGTTTAGCAGTCCACATGTGTCTTCCTTTAAATTATCACCAATTACACTGAAATAAACTCAGATATATGGCAACTAATTGATGGCTGTTTTCTTTGCATTCTGCCCGGATGAGGCCATGGTGATAACAATTTCCACCTTCCTTTGAAAAACCACCTAATTAACATATAGTGTATATGTGAAGCTGTGCAGTGAACACACTGTGACAGTCTGCCTTAAAAAAGAAAATAAGAGCAATTATATTTACACATGCCAAGTGCTGACACTCACTGTCCAAACATGTGGTCTGTGGAGCTCAAATGCGAGCCCAGTGTTGTTGTATCTCCCCAATTATAAATCAAGTGCAGGACTCGAGGCACTTAAATTAGACAAAACACTGCTGCAGAGTTTTCTTTTGGCGGTGTTTTGGCTTGAAATTTTGTCTCTCTGACCCATAAACAAAATGACAGACTGCAAAGAAGCGGTAGCACAGCAAAAAGTGAACCAAGGTGAAGTGAAAGATGGTTAAACTTGTTTTTTTCAAGTGCAGTCAGAGCCTTTGTGTCTAAAAACAAAATAAGCCTTTTTAAAGAAAAACCTGTTCAACGGGCTTAAACGTGTAGAAAGCAATCTTTGCATCGTTGTTCCATTATTCAGTGACAACATGCTTATCAAGATAATGTAAACTGTTTTGAAAAAAACTAAATCAAAGCCTGTCTCTGTGTAGACTCACTACTAGCATAATGTTCCACATCATAGCACAGCAGAGATCCACATCAGATACAAACAGGTGTTGACAGACAGACAATAAAGAGAACCAACATGATTGTTAAGTTCAGGATAAGAAGTATGGCTAATGTAGCTATGGCTACAAACCCCTACTTGTAGCCATGAAGTAGCTTTGCTGAGAGATGGACATACATCTATCATATCACTCATGCAACCTCTGAAAGTTAAGGGAAACCCTGAATTTAACTGCAAGTTCTTAATTTCCTATTGAATATGTATTAGGGTTGTGTCACAATATATTTATACCTGTTATATAGAATAGAGAATGTGCATCTTCTTTTTGTTTTCATATTTTAATTGATATTTTATAGGGTTGGGGTTTGCAGTGTTTTGTGTTGTTTCACTTTAAATTTGTTTAAAAGGAAAAAGCTGAGAATTTAAATAGCTAAAAGTTGAAATGTAAATAGTTGTTTTTTGTATTATATGATTTATTTATTCACTCCACATTTTATGTGGAGTGAATAAATAAAAGTATATTTGCGTTGGGCCCTAGAGACAAAGCACGTACGAACTCCAAAACACGTGCAAACCCCGAAGCACGTCCAAAACACAACAGAAGTGCTCCAGGATGCTAGGAGCAGTGTTGAGCTTTTGTTACCTAGTGGCTACACAAGCCAGGAAGTACCAACGACCACGTAAATTAACTTTTTTTTTTTTTAAATTATTTGAATATATATGAGTGCTTGTGTATAAATACACAAACAATACACATATGCTTTCAATTGTGTAATTTAAGTGAACTAGGTAGCTCTGTTTTGGAAGTTCAGTTAATGCTAGAAATGTGTTTTGGAATTTGTACGTGGTTTTTGGAGTTTGTACGTGCTTTGTCTGTAGGGGCCATCGCAGGGCTGTGCGATATGACCAAAATCTCATATCCCGATATAAGAATTTTATCGTCCCGATAACGATATAAATCACAAAAATGTAACATTTTCTGTAAATTCTGTGAATCTCAGGCAGCTCGACTTGCGGGAAGTGTTTCCAGCTGCGCGTCATGTAGCTGGAGTTGAGTGTTTTAACAGATACATGAAACGATACATTTTTAGACATAAGTTGTAACGGCCGCCGTTTTCTTTGTATTTATTACAAAGCGTGCTGCGGGGAAAAGCCTGTTCTAACGTTTGAGTCTAAGGTTTATTTTTTAGCACCTGGCGGCTCTTTTTTACTTCTCATCTGTAAATAATCTGCTCTTTCACGTGATTCAGTTTATTTTGAAAAGTCTCAACAGGATCTTGAGCTTTATTGTGAAAGGTTTATGTGGAACATAAACAAGCGGACACGCGATGGTGTTACCGTCGTTGTTGCTAACGACAACGCATAAAGACAGGCGCTTGTCCGTCCGTAGTGTGGTTATATTGAATATAAGAGAAAGAGAGAACTTTAAAAAATGAATATAGCCACTACAGTGACCATCAAAACGGTGAAAAAATATTGCTGTAAACAGTTTATTTTGCGACACCACGAAACAAACGATAGCGTAAAATGAAACGATAGACGTTTTTATATCGTCATCCGATATATATCGTTATATCGAACAGCCCTAGGCCACCGTATTTTTTTTATTTTTTTAAACCACGTGGGTTTTTTTGTTTGTTTTTTTTGTTTTTACATTAGTAATTCCTTTTGTGCATAATTTTATATTGTTGTTAATAATAAATTAATTAAAGCAACAAAACAACCTGAAGAGCCGGTTGGCAGCCGAAAGAGCCGGTTCTCTGAAAAGAGCCAGAAATCCCATCACTAGTTGACAAGTAGTCCTGAAGAGTGAAAATGGATGATACAAGCAGTCTGTCTTATGCTCTTTAACATGCCAAAAGCTGAAGTGAAACTGAGCGTTAAAAACAATGAAAAGTGTCCACCATAACCAGTGTCTGCACTTTTCATACCGTGTTTTATGATCTTTAGGGTTTCTTTTTCCTCATTTCATCCAGTCAGGGTGAACTCTGCTGTCGCTTTTTCCAACATTATAGTTTGGGATTTTCAGAGGACTGCATGGGAACAAGTTTGCCGGGACTGAAAAACCCCTTTTGGTAGTTCCCTACAGGCAAATACATATGTAAATGGAAATAAATGTACTAGCATAAATTAAGCAGAAGGCAGCGACACACTTCTCCTATTTCAGAGTTCACCAGGAACAGAAGAAGCACACTGTGCCGTTCTTGTAACGCTGCGTGCATGCATTCACAGCTTATACCATCTAACACACTCTCACGCACACATTCTGGTATGTCAGAGTGATCTCGGGGGTTGCCGTGGAGCTGTGGCTGTCAGTCATAGAGCTGGCCAATCATAGCGAGGCTGAAATAGTGTGGTTTGTTATGTAATCTTCTTTCTCACATCCCAGTTTACCCCTGACCACTCTCTCCTTCCCACTCTGGCTGTCTCTTTCAATCTGGGGGAGGACCTTTGGTTTTCCTGTTACCAGGCCATGTCAATATGGGCACGCTGGCAGAGAACACTGTGTATAAATGGCTCTTGGGACCTATTAGTGTTGGGTTTCAAGAGCAGCTGCTGGACTGACTGACAGACAGGTGTGGTTAGTGAGACAGGAAGCATTGCTTTCTGACAGGTGAGAGGACTTCACTGGTCAAAAAGAGTCCAGAGTCTAGTAATTCCAATTGATCATCATCTTTCTTTCTTGTCTTTGAGTTTCCACGCAAAACAAAAGAAATATTCTAATATGTGGGTAAATTTGCAGTACAGTGCGGGTTTATGGTCAGATTATGAATCATCACTGAAATTCCATTAAAGAAGAGATTTTTATTACGTACTGACATGTTTCATCCTGTAATTAAAGGTTTTTAAACATTTTAAATGAATAATTATACTGTAAACTGAACTCCTCATTAATGCTTTGTTTGTATGTTTCTCCAGGCGAGGATAGCCTTCTTGCAGGGGGAGAGGAAGGGCCAGGAAAACCTGAAGCATGACCTGGTTAGAAGAATAAAAATGTTAGAATATGCATTAAAGCAGGAAAGGTAAGACACAGAATCTTCATAATATATTAGAGGGTCTCTTTACCTTACAATATAACATGTCTTGAGGTGAATTGTGTTGTTGTTAACTGGTGCTGTGTAAATAAAATTCAGTTGAATTGTTGGTGATCCGTAGGGGTTAAACTGGACTTCACACTGAAGGCTACCAACTATAACTTTAGATCACTGCTGATCTTTAAAAAAAAATCCCGTTAGATCTTTAATTTCCTTATTTTCAGTGCCATGAAAAAATATTTGCTGCCTTTTTTATTTCTTAGTGAGTTTTTTTTCCTCGTTTGTCAAACTTAAATGTTTCAGAAGATCAAACAAATTGTTATACCAGACAAAGATAATCCAAGTATGTACAATATACAGTTTTGTCACAAAGTTGACCTGTTTGAAAAAGTATTTGCCTCCCTTGTTAAATCATAAAGTAACAGAGATTAACCGCATTTTTTGGAAATCTGCGTTTGATTTCACTAGCCACATCCAGGCTCCAAGAGGGCAACAACACTCCTGCAGGAAGCTGCTAAAGAACCCAGAACAACTCCAGGTCTTACTTGCCACAGTTAAAATCAGTGTCCAGGTTTCAGTAATAAAAAAGAGACTGGGTAAAAATTGCACCCATAGAAGAGTTCCAAGGAGAAAACCACTGCTGGCCAAAAAGAACACAAAGGCTCGTCTCACATGTGCGAAAAGCATCTTGATGATTCTCAAGACTTTTGGGAAAATACTCTGTGGACTGATGAGACAAAATTTGAACTTTTTTGAAGGTTTGTGTCCTGTTACATCTGCTGTAAAACTCACGCAGCATGTCATAAATCATCAACAGTCAAACATGGTAGTGTGATTGTCTGAGGCTGCTTTACTGCTTCAGAATCATGAAAAGTGCTCTGTACCAGAAAATCCTGGTTTCCAGCCATCAATTCATCCCACTTGGCTTATGCGATGATCCAAAAACACACACGCAAGCCCACCTCTGAATGACTTTATAAAAACAAGAAAACAAACAAACCCATAAATAAAATCAAAGTTTTTGAGCGGACTACTCCGGATTTAAATCTGATTTGCTAAATAAGTCATTCATGCTAGAAAACCCTCCAATGTGACTGAATTTAAACAACTCTGCTAAAAAATAGTGGACCAAAATTCCTCCACAGTGGGAAGGATCCATTGCCAGTTTTTGCTGCTAAGGGTTGCACAACCAATTATTAGGGTTTTTTCTTTTTTAAATATATAATTTTTTGCCTTTTAACTGGCTTTATTGGATAGAAACAGCAAACATCGACAGGAAAGTGGAGGGAAAGAGAGAGGGAAAGACATGCGGCAAAGGGGAACAGGTCGGACTTGAACCTGGGCCGGCCACTTTCAGCCATGCGGCATATGGTCGCCTGCTCATCTGACTGTTAGCTCAACCCGTTGTTAGAGGACTACCGTATTTATGGGACCATAAGGTGCACTGTCGACAAACGGGTCTGTGTTCATACATAAGGCGCACCGCATTATAAAGCGCATTTAACTAAACAAATCAGTCAGAAAAGTCAAACTTTACTCAACTCATTCCGCTTGCTTCCTCCACTTCCATACCATTAATTCATTAATGTTGAATTCTCTGGTAGCTGCTCTATAAACGCTGGAACAACAGTATATGTTATTCCAGTGTTTTTCTAATTTTTGCTATGTAACTTTGCACTGTCCACTTTCTGCTGTAACAAATTTCCCACGTGTGAGACTAATAAAGGTTATCTTATCTTACTTTAATGACTAACCTCATATTGTGGCTGGACTATCTCAGTTGTTCTCTCCTACTGAAGTTTGGTCCGTTTACAGCACTTTTCCAGACGATTGCATTTGTCAAAAAAAGTGGAAAAAGGTTAGCGTTCATTCTCCAGGTTCAGTTTTATTCTTTGGTATGCTAACATAGCGGTGTCGCTAGCGATCACTAGCACAGCATTATATACCATCTAGCCCAACTTCAGTAATCCTACAAACATCACTATTGTGTAGCTTTCTCTCTACATTCATGTTGGAAGTGATAGCAGAGCTGTACGTTTTATTTTTTTCCAGAAATCTCTCAGTCAGAACATGATATACCATGTTAAGGTAACTAGCAAAACCAACGAGCTAACTATCTACTAACTTCCTGCTAACTTCTAACTCCGTTTAATTTAATAAATTCTGTTTTCATGGATGCCTGGATGTTTAACTTAATTGATACACCTGGTAAAGCAGCAACACTGATCATTTTATTAAAGATGAAAGAATTTACACAGTGTTTGTTTGGGACCTGACATGGACGGAGTTTTGGACCCAGATTACTATGAGCCGCAAGGCTCCTGACTACGGTAGCCATAACGCTCAGACAATTCATCAAGCGGTGCAGCTTTGTAGCTTAGCAAAGTCCTACTAAAACATTTTTTGACAGATTTTTGAGCGCCGTGTACCACATAAAATCCGCTCGAGGTCAGTGTAGCAATGGGAATTGCATTTACCTGTGTGTTCCGCCCGGAGTCTTGAGAGTGTAACACCGGAAGGTGAGAAGCAGAGACTCCGGGTGGAACACACAGGTAAATGCAATTCCCATTGCTACAGTCAGTAAACACAGCCAGAATTCATAGATAAGGCGCACCAGATTATAAGATGCACTGCCGATTTTTGAGAAAATTAAAGGATGTTAAGTGCGCCTTATAGTGCGGAAAATACGGTATTCATTTTTCCACATAGGGCCCGGTAGGTTTGGATAACTTTTTCAGTAAAATCATCATCTAAAACGGTGTTTTGTTTTTTGTACGAGGGCTGTCTAATATCAAAATTTGTTCAACAATCTGAAACTTGTGACAAACATGCAAAAAAACAACAACAAAGAAGTCAAGAAAGGAGCAAATACTTTTATTTCACTGTGCTGAGTCTTTCACTTCAGTTTGCAGAAGGCTAATTCATTCACAGTCATTGGCATGCTTGGATAGCTTGTCAGGGTTATGTTGTGATGGATTAGAAGTTTGTCTTTGGGTGTGTCGTCTCAGTGTCTGCCACTTGCTTATTTTCCAAGCAGCACAGGTACTCTGAAATATAGAGCACAGAAGTTAATATACCAAATAACCTGGACTAGTGTATTAAAGGGATATGTTTAATTTGTTTGAATACAAAGTTAATTAGCTTTCTATAGTTCTGCTTCAGACTGCTGTTAAATTACTGCTTCGTTCTGTGATTCTTGGGTTGCTTTTGTGCACTAGTGATGTAATAGATTATTTGTATACTTCAGATTCTTTCTGTTTCACTGATAAAGAATCTGCCAAAGCCTTCTTTTAGTTTCATCTGTTTAAGCCATTTACATTTTCACTTTTGCTATGGTGGAAATCTGTTTCCCTTCTCTTAGACCACACACTTTGAGCTTTTTTCACTGTTTTGGGGGTGACAGAAAATATGCATTAAAAATATGTTATGTTAATTTTAATTTTTAACCATGTCAATTGATTGGTTGATGATTAGTTTCTCTTTTTTCCATTTTCAGAGCAAAATACCACAAGTTAAAATATGGAACAGAGCTAAACCAAGGAGAAATGAAGATGCCAAGTTTTGAATCAGGTATGATGTCATACTCCCCTCCACTAATCTCTCATTGTACACATGCTTTATATTCAGTGTGGCCTTTTGTAGACTGCATATAAAAGATGTAGGTTCTTAGCCCCTGGGCAGCATGGTGGTGCAACGATTAGCACTGTCGCCTCACAGCAAGAAACTCCTGCGTTCAAATCAGTCACCTGGCCAGGGTCTTTGTGTTTGGAGTTTTCATGCTGTATCTGCATGGGTTCTCGCTGGGTACTCGGGCTTCTTCCCACAGTTTAAAGACATGCAGTTAGTGGGGTTTTGTAATAAACCGGAAACACATGAGCATTAAATACTGTGATATAAATCCCTCATCATACGCAGTTCTTTAAAATGTTAATTGTTAATTGGAATTGGATAAGCACAAGAAGATGGATTGATTGATGGACTCCTGACCTTTCTTCTTAGACTTGAACTAACTCACAGCTTTAAATACAACTGATGAAAGCCATCTCTGTTTTGTGTCCAGCAGGCAGTGCTGTATAAATCACTGTTTCTGTTTTTGTCCTTAGACACCAAAGATTCAGAGGTCTCTGCTGTTCATGCCAACAGTCAGCTCACCTGGAAACAAGGAAGACAGCTGCTCAGACAGTAAGAACATTTGAGCACTTGTATTTGCAGTGGAAGCAAAATGCTGAAATAATTTTTTGAATTAATTTGTTAACAAAAATCAGTATTTGACCAAATGATGTGTAGTTTACAGTGTGCACGTGTTTGTTTGGCGGTCAGGTACCTACAGGAAGTCGGATACACAGACACCATCCTGGACGTTCGTACTCAGAGGGTTCGCTCTCTGCTTGGCCTGTCGGGCTCAGAGCAGAATGGATCTGTGGAGAACAAGAACCTGCAGCACCTGATCAATGGGACCGAGCGCCGCAAGGACAAAAGGTACAGACACACGCACAGCTGTTCACATGCAGTACTAGCCAGTACTTTACTGATTTCAGCTTTTGTGAAAACCGCTCCAGTAACAAAAAACATAAAACAGCAAAACAAACACAAATTGGTAGTTCCTTTGTAACAAACTGCTTACTTGCCTATCTATAATAAGTTAATTCAGCATCAAGCTTCATTTCTTTGCTCTCAAGGCTTGATTTTGTTTCATGCCCCACTGTAAAACATGGATTCTCACTGTCCACTGTTGTGTTTACCATCTCAACATGAGCAGCACCACATCCCCTTCCTCTCATGCTGGTCAGTGGGTCAGTGTTTATATTATTCTAGCTACATCTGAATCTAACATTTGCCTTAAGTTATTATAACCATGACCTAGCCTTTGCCTAAGATAGTGGGCCCGAACCCAAACCTAACCTAATATCGCTTTCACATGAAAAGGAGCCAAGTCTCCCCAGTGTGACATCTCCCACCACACTGACAGTGCAAGCACAAACACAACCCAGCAGACAACTTAAGTGTAACAACATTGGTGTTTATATCCAGGAGTCCAGGTGATGTTCTGGAGACTTTTAACTTTCTGGAAAACACAGAAGACAGCGATGAAGACGATGATGAGGAGGGGGACCTGATGGATGACATCACCACTGACAAACATCACAGAGCCAAGAAACATAAGACCAAGGTAAACAGAGAGCAGGCAGCCCCTTTTAAATCACCACTGTTGTTCTTTTCCCCTGTACCTCCTTCCTTTACTCTGCCGTCCTTCAACACCTCTTCCTTAATTCTTAACTTGTGTTTTGTTTTTTGTTTTTTTTCTCTCTTTCCTCTCCTGCTATTTCAGGTGGGAAACGAGGGCTTAGCGTCAGAGGATGATGCCGACACAGAGGAGGCTCTAAAGGAGTTTGACTTCTTGGTGACGGCTGAGGATGGAGAAGGGGCGGGTGAGGCTCGGAGCTCCGGAGACGGGACAGAGTGGGGTAAGAGATGTACATGAATCCCACTGATTGTAAATATATGAAGGCTGTGTCCTTTGCTCTGTCTGTTGAATGATATTCACCTTAAATAAACAAATGCAAATTGTAAATTATTGATGATTATTTTTCCAATTAATGAATTGTGTGGCTGTAAAATCATTATGACAACAGCTAATGAATATAATCTTGTAATAGAGAGGTACAGTGTGTTTATTAAAGCCTCTCACTCTTCAGCGGAGCCTCTACCATTTCCTACTGGCGGGGGGAAGTCCTTCTTACTTGGGGGGTCAGATGATGTGTTGGAGAGCGTGCTGGGACTGGGTGACCTTGCCGACCTCACAGTCACCAACGATGAAACAGACTATGGCTATGATGTAAGGAAAAAAAAAAAACTAAGCTGCAGTTTAAAACTCAAACATTCTTTAGAAATTGCCCTAACATTGACATCTTCTTTTCCTCAGCTGCCGTCCAGTAAGGAGTCTTCGTTCAGGAAGACATGGAACCCCAAGTACACGCTAAGGAGCCACTTCGATGGTGTCCGAGCACTGGACTTTCACCCCGTTGAGCCCTGCCTGGTCACCGTGTCCGAGGATCACACCCTTAAACTGTGGAACCTCACCAAGACTGTCCCTGCCAAAAAGTAGAGTAACACCAGATGTACACATAAACCTCCAAGCAGAACTACCAGAATAATCAAAAGACTCTGGCATAAATTACACCAAAATATATAGTCTGAGGAGCTTGGAAAGAAAAGCTTCTTCAGTTCAGAACTGAAGAAGCTTCTCGGATGAGAGGTGAAACGTTTTCAAAGAAACCTAAAGAAGTCCAGACTCTTTTCTTTTCAAGCTCCTTAGACTACAATGACCTGGATGACTTTGTTTATGTAAAATAAGACATTGCCTTTACTTAAATAGCCAGCACCTGAACACCTTAGTCTTTGCTGCTGTGATCCCAATGGGACCTTCTCTAGTTACAGCATGATTATGCTTGTTTCTCTTAGCTGAACAGTTCTTGCCATGACTGGGATTACTGCAATAGTTAAATAAGGCTGTTTGCTCTATACCAGCATTACATTAACACAACCTAAGTGATGGTCTTGTATTGAAGAAAGAATTTCCAGTGATTAACTTGTTGCAACGGTTGCTTCTGGAAACCATTTGCAGTGAAGACCTCAGAGCTGGTTGAAATACTGGCAACATTGCAAAGCTGTGATCAAAGCAAAAATCATTTTCTAAAGGGTATCCTAAATTTTAAAAAAAGAAAGAAGAAAAAGTTCAGTCGGTTGAGAAAAGAACGCTCAGCATGGACAGTATTTCCTCATCACATAGAAAAGCTTTTATTCACTCTGCTTCAGAGGAAAATCCTCTCCTTACAAACCTGGCAGATCCTTTCAGTATTAGCATCTCATTTTCTCCTCATCACTGCGTTTCCATGGCACTATTCTGATCAAACTCACACCACAAGCTTCTGATGTGTCAGTGTCTTACAAATAATCCCTTTAAATAATACCCCTCAGGACTTACTGTCGTACAGTGAAAAACAGTCACTGCTGCCTGTAACAGAGTTGAAGAAGAGTCTGTTTGATGATGAAGTAACAATCTGCTTGTTTATTTCACTGTTGTTGTTGTTGTTTGTTTTTTCCAGAAGTGCCTCTTTCGATGTGGAACCGATCTACACATTCAGAGCCCATGTGTATGTATCCAAACACACACAGTGTGTCTAAGGCTCTATTTGACTTGATGGTTGAGGTTCCATGGTGTTTTTAACTTTTTCAAGTTACATCAGATTTCTTCACGTTTTAAGTGACACAAGTAATATTTAAAAAAAGTGAGTTGTTTTTTTTTTTTTTTTTTAAAGGTAATTTCAGACCTGTGGTGAACTGCTGTTGGCAGGAAGACAGAAATGATGCTTTTTAGTGGCAGCAGCTATGAATAAATGAGCATTAGTAGTGATTAAGACTGACAGGCACCCTGTAGCTACAGCATGAGAATAATCTCAGCAGGAAATATGTCTGAGAAAATGTAAGTCAAACACCAGGAAAAAATTGTTATAAAGTAACAGAAAAGTGTTTAAAAAAATCTGGAAAATTTAATGGACCAAATTGCCAGATAATAGTAGAATTAAAAATAACTAAAATGCAAATAAAACACTAAATCAAAATAAAAACTGTATTAAAATATGTCTGAAAAGTTGTTTTGTTTTTTTTAATATTTTAAAAAAAAAGAATTTGATTAAAATATCAGAAAATGTCTTTAACAAACTAAAAACTATCAGTATCATGTTTGGACAAACTAGATTTATAGAACATTTTTGGTATATTATAGTTATAAAGGTCTTTTCACTGCTCATGTCTAAACTTGCTAGATGTTGATCTCACTCACACTCTTTGTGAGTGTAAGTGAGAGATCTCAGTAACCAGCAGGATTAAATGACTGTCGAGGTTACGTGTTTGCACTTGACATCATCCGTAAATATATGTATTTTATCAAACCTCTGGTGATGATGCTCTTTTCTGTCTTCAGTGGACCAGTGTTGTCATTGGCGATGACCTCCAGTGGTGAACAGTGTTTTAGTGGTGGTCTTGACGCAACCATCCAGTGGTGGAACATCCCCAGCTCAAATGTTGATCCCTACGACACTTATGGTACACACTATTTCACTAAGTGAAAGGGAAAAGGTTTAAGTAGTAGTGAGCCCTGCTATAGTTTCGAGTGGCGCTAACAAAAAGAGGAGAGGCCAAGCTGAAGATGGTAGAGACGGCTCAGGTTGGGCAGATATGAAAAGTTAGAGCGACAAGGCTGAGATGTTTGGGCATGCACAGAGGAGAGGCAGCGGATATATTGGACAAAAGACGTTGAAAATGAAGCTGCTAGGCAGGAGGAAATGGGACCACAGAGAAGATTCATGCTGAGTGTGGACATGCAGAGGGCTGGTGTAGCAGAAGGGTATACTAATAATGGGGAGATGATCCACTGTGGCGACTTGTTATGATAACAGCCAAAAGAAAAACAAGTAAACCGGTTGTCTCCTTTCATAATGATCTCCTTGTTTTTTCAAAAATATAGATTTCTTAGATTACCTCACATGGCTCTGCTATCCCCAAAAAATTTCTTTTTCTTTTTTTGTTTTATTCTTTTCGGTTCCCAAGTTTGAATGTTTTTCTTTTAGGTCTGCTCCTATTAAGGCTGCTTTCCTCATGTCTTTACTTTCTGAACAAAATGCTGGATTTTAAAAAGATGTCTTTACTTGGGGAAAAATACAATTTTTCGGGAACATTTTATTTCACAAAACCTTACAAAGACACCAAAAATGTCTTCCCTTTGTTAAAGTTTTCTCTTTCAATTGGGAATATTTGTCAGTTAGATGAATGTACAGTTATAAAAACAGAAGGCCCCTCTCATTTCTTATCTCTCTTCCAATCAGATCCAAGCGTCCTGGCAGGTTCCTGGTTAGGACACACGGACGCTGTGTGGGGATTGGCATACAGCGGTATCAAAAACCGCCTCCTGTCCTGCTCGGCCGACGGAACAGTGAAGCTGTGGAACCCAACAGAGAAAAACCCCTGCATTAGCACTTTCAATACAAACCATGGTAAGAAGAAGAAAAAGGGTGCGCTTCTTTGCAGGAGGGAGTTTGAACAGACTTGCTGATGTTTACATCTGTCAACAGAGCATGGGATCCCCACATCAGTGGACTTCAATGGTTGTGACCCTGCTCACATGGTGGCATCCTTTAATAGCGGAGACGTGGTTGTGTATGACCTGGAAACTTCCCAGCAAGCACTTGTGCTCAAAGGACAGGGAGATGGCAGTAAGAGCACAAACAACCATGAACAGATATGAGGTGTGTGATGGGTTTTTGAGGACAGTAAACAGTGTTATCCCTTTCTCTCCCTCCTCAGCTCTGTCGGGGTCAAATCATATAAATAAGGTGGTGAGTCATCCCACGCTTCCAGTAACCATCACTGCTCATGAAGATCGACACATCAAATTCTTTGATAACAAGTCAGGTCAGTCTGCAGCTACTCCCCAGCTGTGTCCATCACTCCAAAGATGGTGAGCCTGATTGGTGAGATCAGGTTTCACAGCTCCCACTTCACAGACACTGTGTACAGAGTGACTCAGAATTATTTTGACTTGAGAAAAACGAGTCCTTCTGGAAGTGCTTAGGTGTGCCTTGTGTCCTCTATGCAGGTAAAGTGATTCATGCCATGGTGGCTCATCTGGATGCAGTGACCAGCCTGGCCGTGGATCCCAACGGCATCTACCTGATGTCTGGCAGTAAGTCTCATAAAAGTCTTCCTGGAGCTCAGAATAAAGCATTGAATTTAATTTAGCTTTTTTTAAATTAAATTCTGAAAGTTATTACAGTTCTTCATGCGTGCTGTAGATGGTGACTAGTGAAGATTGAAAGGTTATCTATTAGGGCTGAGTATCGTCACTGATTTCTAGAATCGATTCAATTCCGATTCACAAGGTCCCGAATTGATTCGATTCGTTTTATTAGAGACACAGCTAAGGGTTTTGCAATTTTGCATAATTTTAAAAAGTTTTAATTTGTTCAGTAGCATACTGAACAGCAGAAATTAGGTTTTCTTTTCCGAAGTAAGTAAAAGGAAAAAAGAAACGGCGGCCGACAGCGCTGTAAACAACGGCAGTTGGTGATAAGCAAGCAAATAATGCAGAAAACAGATTTTTAGATGGGAAACTATTCCTGAGAGAGGGAGAGCTGTGCAGGAAGTGTGATTTTTATCTTGGTGGAAGCAAAACAGTAAGTAGGAGGGAATTCATGACGATGTCTATGTGAAGCGTAGTTTGGATCATTTTGCTGCGGGTTCAGTCAGAGATAAAACCTGCAGCTTCAGAATCTAGCGCAAAAAGGACATAAACACAAAGCGCGAAACACCAGAATCGGTGAGCTGTCGGCTTTCAGCCCCGACCGTGTTCGTGCCGTCGGGTGAGAAAGGCGACATCTCACTGATTCTGATGCGTCGGCGGGTCCGCTCTTTGCGTTTACGTCTTTGTGCAGAACCCGTGCTCCTGCTCTCATTTACTGTTTTAGCTGTTTGGTGGTTGTTGAAATTTTGTGAGGTTTAACCTGAGATTCTGGCATTTTGGGCAAAATAAATTTATATTTAAAAATCGATTCAGGATTTTAATGAACCGATATCACGTTATCCAAGCTAGAATTGATTTTAATCGATAAATCGATAATCAAAACCCATCCTATTATCTATGTAAGTTAGTTCAACTTTGCTTTGTACCATTACATGACTGAGTATTCTCTTTAGTCTATTTACTTGTACAGCACATCGCATTGATTATCATGTGTGCTCAACTAGGACACTTGCCTCACAACGGCTTTGTTCACAGCTTTAAGTCAAATGACCTGCAGTGCTATATGTTAGACCCCGTCTGCGTATATACCCCTGTCACCACAGTTATTCCTCAATCCTTATGCTCCTCACCTCACCACGAACACTTCATTTGGCAAGCTGGCTTTTCCATGTGAGGAGATTTTTGACTAAGACCCAAGGGCATGCATTTTGTCATGAGCTCTTTCACTCGGGTCACGTTAGTAGAGAAAGTCCTGGGAGGTGCTGCTCTTACACGGCACAATCCTCTTCTCAGAGTCCTTTGACCCAGTTTTAGAGTCGTCAGACCAGTATGCTGCCAGTCCTGCTGCGCTGGCTAGCCAAAACAAAACACCTGTTTCCTCTGTTTCACCGTATAACTAAGAAGCTCTCCTCTGACAGCTGAGAAGCCATTTATGTTTTGTGAGGTTTTCTGATGACGGTAAAAAAAAAAACTTCTTTTTTTTTTTTTTTCTTCTTCTCAGGACTAACCACTGCATGTATCAATCCGAAATCTACTCATTTCACTGTGTCTGGCTATAGACAGGATCTGGAAAAAGCTGATTTAGTTAACCACCACCTATAGATCCATTACTGACAGTTTGTTTGGCCCTGTCTCACAATCTAAACACAGGTGCCCCCACAGCTCTTCCATTCAAGATTTTCCACATTTCATTTAGACACATTAATCAGGCTTAGTGACAGAGCTCATGGTGCAGGCATTGCCCATCTATGTTTGGATCACTGGTTCCCCAGACAACCCACTGGTGCCTCTCCATATTGAGGTCAGATGTCTTTGGCCCAAGTTCTGTTCAGGTTGTCAGCCCCAAAAGGTGATGCACTTTCCTATCACAGTCTGATAGGCACACCCCCACAAAAACACTTTTGGTGTCTCAGGTTGTAACATTCAGTTTGACATCAGCCGTTCACACTGATTTCCATCCACTGTTTCACTCTGTGTACTTTGACCAAATGTATTAACGAACTGTCAGCTCAATGTGAGGAGTGGTCACATCTTAGCCTATTTGGACAATTGGGGTTTGATAGCAGGATCCAAAGAGCAGGCTGTGATGCGGGTTTCACTGGTCCTGTCACACATTCAAGTACTCAGTTTCTCTGACCTTTCAAAAAATGCCTGCTAACCACAAGTCAGCAGGTCTCTTGTCTTGGGCTGGAAATATGCTCAGTTTCCAGCTGTGGATGTTTGTCAGGGCACAGAATAGCTGCACTCAGTTTCACTTGGGGCACAGACTGCATTTCCACATAATATTGCAATTTTATGTCATGGTGATGGCATGATGGTTGTAGAGCCTGACTGATGTAGTATTTTTCAGACCAATATTTGGTGATTTTTTTAAAATAGGCAATATATATTGGCCAATAAAGCTTTATCTTCTAGACACACAAAATATGAATGGATTTCCCTAAAAATTGTTAGGTGTAATCATTTGAGTCCTTACCAAGATTGTATGAAAATGAAATTTAAAAATAGTTTTGTTTTATTGACACGAGAAGTCTTGGATTACTTGCTCTGCCCAACTGCAACTTCCCTGTTGGGAAACGGCAACCAGCTGATCCGAGCATACTGCAGTCTGGTGGACAAACTATCCAATGGCAACCCTCTTAACATGGTTGAACGGTCTTTTTTTTTTTTGTCTCTCCTTCCTTATTTATTTTTCAGTTATCAGCAGAACAATTAAAATTATTTGGCAATACTAAGAAATCGCCTTACCAATATATTGGCGTGTTCAACAATATTTAATCAAGGTTTTAAGGATGACAGCATGTCAGTGGTGAATTCAGTTTCTGCCTAGCTGCTCCTTGCATGTTAGCTTTTTATCCTTTGAGAGAGCCCGGCTACAGTGCATGTAAACATTTATACCATTATTATTACAGACAGTGTGTGGCATAACACTAAACATTGGTTCAGTTCATTGTGGGTTGTTGACATTTCTTTATGGGCTTAATTTATTCTTTTAGAATCTTTTTCACTTCAGAACGCTGGACTTTAAACTGTTTAGAAGTCTCCTTATAACCCTTCCCAAACTGAAGGGCAGAAAGAATTTCTTCTCCAATATCATCTTTTTAAAAGCTTCAAACTACCAAGAACTTCTCCTGTTGCACAGGTTCTCATACTCACTGATAATTACTTAAGTGCATCTGAGTAGCAGAATCTGGTTGCCACTTACTCTCTTGATTCCTAATGGCGTAGTAGGTTTGGAAGCACTAAGGTTCACATAGTTTTTCTCACTCTCTTAATTTTTTGATACTTAAAATGTTAGAAATGAGAGATGATATGCTTTGTGCTTATATGGCTATGTATGCATTGTAGCTTGTTCCTGTCCTTTGCTAGACCAGTGTTTCCCAACCACTGTGCCGCGGCACATAGGTGTGCCGTGAAAGATTATCTGGTTCCACCTGATTAGTACTCTAAATGACTGGTGTGAGTAACGGGCAGAACAATTACATTCTATTGTAATCTCTTGTAAACGCTACAAGAGATGAACAAAATCAACTTTTGGAGAATTACATTCTCTTCCACTAGAGGGCAGTAAAACTACCTACTCTAATTAAATAGAATGCCAACTGCCAGTAAAACAGAAGACGAAGAAGAAATGACATAACCGTCATGCTGTGAATGAGACAATGCAGTGCGTAATAGCAATAGATAAATATTTGAAAAGAACAAGTAGTCAATCTGACCTGGGCCCTGGAGAAAATTCTGACCCAGATGAAGGCCCTAACATGAGTAGTGGTCAGAAAGCAAAAAAGGTACACTGGGGACAAACCAAACCAATTCCACTCTGCCTGATGCACGGGGGAAAATTATCAATGTGCTTTTTGTGACATTTTTGGTTTGATGGTGTGCTGTGTGATTTTTTTTTTTTCTAATGTGAAATATGTGCCGTGGCTCCAAAGGGTTGGGAGACACTGTGCAGACAAATCTGGCAGTAGTTAATTTGAAACATTACAGAGCAAGCTAATTTTACAGCTATTTAAGCACAGAGAGCTAGAGATTAATTAGCTGACCTCTTTCACTCACTTTCTATGTACATAAGATAGTTTGCAGTTAGTCCAGGTAGCAGCTAAGATAGATTAGGCTCAGCGCAGGGTCAGTTTTGATCACAGGAACTAAGCACATGTGCCTTCGTAAGTCTCCTGCTTCTGCTCATGTTATGGCAGTTAAGGCAACTGTATGACAAAACTGTCAGTGCATTCAAGATTTTAATATAACATTAATCGTTTGTTTCTATCACTTCTCAAGTCAAAAGAAACGGAAATGAGTTTGGTTTGTGCAATTAAATTACTTTGTAACAACATTGACATAATGGCTTACATTTTTTTCTTCTCCTCAGGTCACGACTGCTCTCTGCGTCTGTGGAACCTAGACAGTAAAACGTGTGTTCAAGAGATCACAGCTCATCGTAAGAAGAGCGAGGAGGCCATCTACGACGTGGCCTTCCACCCCTCCAAGGCCTACATTGCCTCCGCTGGAGCCGACGCCCTTGCCAGAGTCTACGTATAGACGAGGAAGAGAAGATTTAAACAACAGAAAAAAGAAAACAAAAAAGAGGAGATGACCTCGAGGTGAGGGATACAGAGACAGACAAAGAGAGAGAGGGGCTAGTCTGTACACAAACAGGATTCAGGTCTGTTCAGGTCTCTGAACACAGAATATATATTAATATGAAAGACTGGAGAATCTCCAACGGACAACTGAACAAACACACACAGGTTTCTTACACAAATTTTTAAGTTAAGAGGTGGAGTGGTGTGATCTCCCTACAGCTAAGAGACAGCAGAAACGCGTTTAATGATCAACTTGGAGCAGCTTGCCTGAAACCCATCTGGCCCCTCACAAATCCCTAAGGTAGCTTTGACACTACATGCCTGTCCCTATTCACTAACACTACTGTGACTCCTGATCCCAGACAGAAGAGCTGGAGCTGAGGGCAGACGTAAAGGAAAAATCCCCCCAAAATTAGACCTGGTCAGAGCTGGCCAAGGAAAGCAGCCTGACATCTAGATGAGTTAACCCATCGCTCTTTTATTTCTTACTGTTGTCATTTAGCATCGTAATACGGCGGTCAAATGTAGCACATTAAACTGTGGAATCGTAGCACTACAGTCTACATGTTGTGGGGACATTTTTGCACCTTTCCCCTGTTTCTCTTTCTGTCCCACTGGACTCAATGCTGAGTCAATGCTAAATGTTCAGGCATGTCTGAGTGGAGACAGTTACAACTCGAAAAATGGCCCTCGTGAGAAGTTGCCTGGAATCTGTATTGAATTCACCCCCATTTGGCTAATTTTTCTCCAATAACTCTAAAGAACTCTACTTTCAAGGCAGTTCAGAGCAGGCTTGCAGTCCCGAACAGTTATAATTGGCTGCCAGTGTTTTCTCTATGTTTGTTATACATTATAAAAGCTCTATTACTCCCCAGGTGTTGAAGCTTCAGTGGCATATGAAACCAAATCTAAGCACAACTGTAGTGCATTAAGCAGTCTGCTCTCCCAGTCTGACACTTCACATGAGGTGATACAGCTAGAAATGTCCAAGAGTGGAGCATTCTAATGAGTCTCCAAAGTCTGCACTTTCTCCTACTGTAATCCATTTAGTAGAGCTAACCACTAGTTGAACTAGCAAAAATATAGAGTAGCAAAGAATTCGAGTTGAGTACAGTTTTGTACTGGCTCTCGCCTGCCTCAGGAGAGAGCATATGTAAAACATCCTCTCATTACACTGATCTCCTGTCCAGACAAAACAGTCTGAAGAAACAATTTTGACATTTTCATGGCTGTGCTAAGCTCTGGTAAAACAGGAAAAACTTAAACACCAGTGTCTTTGTTGTGCTTTGTACACACTGCTTCTTCACAGTGTTTACGTGGAGAAGAGCGTCTCTGTTCAGATCTTTTTTGTGTGTGTCACACAGCTACCTGCACAGAAACAAAAAATTGAACTATGTCATAGACTATCATCAATCTTTAAATGCCGAAACACTGAAAAGTAGCAGCTATTTAAGTTGATTTTAGACGTTTGGCCTGTTCAAAATGATTTCCAAGTTGCAAAAATACCTAGTAATCAAGTGTTTTGTGTGTAGTCTAATTCATATGTGCATGAGTTTAAAGTGCATTTTAATTAGCTGCTCAAAAAACATTTGCCAATTTATAATCATACAACATCTAAGCTGTTCCACTGGTGGACATTATTCGAGATGCCCGTGTCCCAACACAGGAAGCTGTAAGCTGTTCTATGTATCATCCATAGTATGATCAGAATAGGGGTACTTGTGTCCATGGAAACACTCCTCCTGTCACAACAATTTCAGCATCTGTTTAGTGACAGTGAAATCATATTAGCCACATTAAACCCTGCTTTAAGACTGCCTGAGGAACTGTACTAAAGAGAAAGCCCGGAGGTTAATCAGATGTTGGAGTCACATCCGAGGGGGATTTTTCCTTTAAACCTTCAGAAACGTCAACCTGAGAACAGAACATGTGATGTTTGAACTTGTTTTTTTCTCTCTTTCACTTTTTAATAATTAAATCTGAACTAAAACTTCTGCAAAGCAAGTTTTACAGTTTGTAAATGGGGAAAAATTAAGAAGAAATATGTTTTGAGCAAACAGAATGGATTTAATATCAGATTTTGTTTTTGCCTCTGAGAATGTTTTGGTGAGAATGGAAGTTTGGTTAATACTCACCGACCTCAGCCTCCTGCTGGGCCTATCAGAGCCCCACGTTTAACAGTGTAACAAGCGGAGGATTCAGCATTACTGTAGTTACATATTTTTGTTTGTGTAAAACAAATCTAGTTTTTATAGTCCTTTTTAATTCTTTTTAAAAATCCACAATATAGTTACTGCCACAATGGATGACCCATCAACCAAAAACCTCACCTCAGTCTGATATGTCAGGACGTCTGGCTTCAGTTTTGGGCCCTGATCTCAGATCATGTAAACACAGGAACTGCTGCTGCTGAGTGTTGAGACAGCTGAGGAGAGGGTCAGCTGTATCTGTTAGTGTCTGTCCTGATGTTAAATATCAACCTTTAATATACATTTGTCCATTCGAGCTAATGTCTAACATGGCACACATTCCAGTGTGAAACAGCAGCTTATCACAGTGATAAGGTGTTTGCTCCAGAGGGTAGAGCATGCAAGTCCAATATCATCAACTGAAAGACTCCAAGCACAAGATACATTTTAATTACTCCACAGTGAAACCCTTGCGTCTTTTACACAACAGCCTTGGCATGTTAACTATTAGCTTTGTCTTATGCTAGAATTAGTTTTAAAAAGTTACATTTTTAAAAGACTTATTTGGCATAAGAAAGTTACATTTATATGCCAACTTAATGCTGGTGTAAGACAGAACTAATTATGTCCTGTAAAGAAATGTACAAACAAAATTAATTTGCATAGAAAATGTAATCCAAGCATACAAATGCAGACCTATGAATAAATGCAAGGTGCCGAATGCTTACTAAGTCATTCTGTTCATTCTAATTTACACTGCAGTATCTAGTCTTTGTCACTGCAGCCGATAAAATCACTGGGGGAAAAAAAGCCTGACCAACTCCTTCCTAGGCCAGTCTTATATGACCTTGTTTATGTAGACTGGATAAAATGACGTGAGGTCATAGCAAAAAGGTTTTACAGGTGAGAACTTCTTGAACTACAAATACACAACTTGCTGAAATGATGCCTTTTCCTCACAGTCAATATATTTGGCATCTAATTAGCTCTGTTTGTTTGTTTTTTAAGAAATGAAGTTTTAAAATGTTGTGTACACTGTACACATGAGCAGTTTGTTATAGTATAATACAGCTGCCATAAAGATCATTTTGATATGGCTGTAATTTTTTTTTTGTTATCATCTGAAGGGAGGTCATGGGTATAAACCACAAAATCTCATCAGGTTGAGAGGTGTTTCTAATATTCTGACCCATCAAAAGTAGTTTTTTTTAAATTATATTTTCTGTACACTCACTTGTGTCAGAGTTCCACATTTTATATGTTGAACCCACAGAACTGACTCATTTGTATACGTGTACACACTCTTACACATGCAAGTATGCATTTTTGACACTATCACTAAGTGGAATATTCTGATATTTGTGAAGACAGATCTTACAGCAAGGCAGCTGTACTAAACACCATCCGTGTTTAGGTACCTATAATAAAGTGGTCACTGTGGGGGGTTCTTTTGCTTTGTTTTGTTTTTTAAAATTTGTTGATTAGTAATAAGCAAATTTAATTTATGTAAAAACAAGTTTTGTCCTCAAACAGGGCAAAGAATAGTTTGATGTACACAGATTTGAACGCAGGGCTGCTCCAGTTAAAGGCCAACTTCCAATAACAAACCGGCAAATAATTGGTTTAATGAGCTGGGAAATGGTACCTGAATGCAGCACGAGCTCAGTTCGAGTGTGAACAGGTGAAGTTACAGCTTTGTTTGGTTCAGGCTGAGACTTCTGCTCCTCCGCCTCCATCATATCGCTTCAATCTTTGAAAAGCTGCTGTCTCACTGGCTGGCCCACAGGGGGAAGTCTAATTTGTTGTTCTGGTTTGTTACGATCCACAGTTTTATTATTATATAATTTTTTTCTTTTATTTTCACCAATGCTACAGTTTACTGTGTAACTCTCGTTTGTGTAATGCATGATTAATACAATAAAATATTTTTTTTAGTCTTCCGAAAAATGAAAAAAAAAATTCTGTTTGCGAGATTTGATGAGTTTTGTGTTTTGTTTTTTATTTACAAACTATGAACAGCAGATTTTAAAGGCTGTACCACATAGAATACAGCTGTTGAAATGTACATAAAATGTCTATAATAACTATTAAACTGTGTACCTGTACAACACCTGCTGCCTGCTCTTCATTCTGTAGGAAAGCACTCGGTGTGTTCAATAGATTGGAGTTCCTTCGGTCCATATACCATCAAATTAAAATTAATCAAATTTAGTCATTGCAACATTTAAGCAATGGAACGCTTGTCTGTAAGCTTTGCTGTCTGTTCTACAGCAACAGCACAGGTGCTACAGTGACTGCTCTTTCTTGTGCTGTTTCATTTTCAGGCAGCGATAAATCAAATGTCAGGTGGTAAAACCACCTAAAGTGATGTAAGGTACTAGTGTTGGAGGACTTGCACTAATGGAAGCCAGAGGTTTTGTTTATTCAGATAATATAACTTTCTTCTTCTTTCTTTTTTTTTTTTTTTTTTTTTTTTTTTTTTGTCATTGGACAGTCATACTTAGTGCGATGGTACAACTAAACTGGAAACTTTCTCACGTCAGTGTGAGTATGTCAGCACACTTTCAATGGAGCAACAGTAGAAGGCGATCAGCAGCTCCTTTCTGAGGATTTTCAAAAAATGGAGAGGCTGTTGGGCCTTATTTAAAACCGCCAAGGTGTTTAAGCTCCATTAGAGGTCTGTGTCTATGTGCACACCCAGGAACTTAAAGCTGGCCCCCCTTTCCACGTCCACGGCTGCAGCAAAGACTTCCTGCCTCTGAAGTTGATTGCCAGCTCTTTTGTCCTGGTGATATTGAGGTCCAAGTTGTAGTTTGCACACCAATCCGACAGCCTCTGAACCTCAACTCTGTATGCTGTCTCATCACCACCAGAGATGAGCCCCACCACAGTGGTATCATCTACAAACTTACTGTAGTGTCTGGGTGGGTACTGACACAGTCATGTGTACAGCAGGAGACTCGGTACACAGCCTTGTGGAGAGCCAGTGTTAAGGCTAAGGGCTGGGGAAAGATGAGGCCCCACTCTAACTCTCTGTACATGGTCTGAGAGAAAGTCTGATCCAGCAGCAGGTGGTAAAAGGAAATCTGATATCCAGCAGATATCAGTCTGTCCGGGAGTATCGTATTAAAGGCAGCACTAAAGTCAACAAAGAGCAGCCTGGCGTGACGCCCCTGTTGTTCAAGGTGGGAGATGGTGGTGTGGAGTGTTGTAACACAGGCATCTTCAGTTGATCTGTTAGCTCTGTATTCAGTGGTAATCTTCAGGCACAGGCATCATGTTTTCCTCTGTTTTTAACAATAATGACAATACAAATGAAGAATAAACCGGTGATCATATTAACCTGATCTATGAAAAAGTCGTTTGTAAAATTTCATCTCAATCGAAAGCTTCAGTAAAATTTCCACAGCTGTGAAGTTGCTATACACAGATACCAGGTGAAATAGCGACGGATCTGATCTGATTCACAGGATGTGAATCAGAAAGGCACAAACACTCATCATGGGCATAAATGGTAATTTTGAGCGTTTAATAATGTCTTTGAACTGCTCTTTTTCCAGGGTGAAATGATTGTATATTATACATCTTTAAAGACTTAAAAAACAAGAACTCGATGTAGCACTTTGAATTTATTTTGGGGGATTATCTCCAATCCACACAGGGTTAAAAGTCAGATAAATCAATTTTCCCCTCTCTTCCTGTACTCTCTCTGTCTGGTGTTTTGCCATTGTGGTTTATTTTTTACTTTGGATGTATTCATCAGCACACAAACGTCCTTCTGATACTTTTATCCAAAGCTCCTGAAGCAATTTCCTTGATAACATCTTCAGCTTGTAGTTTGTCCCAGTTTACCAGGATCAGCCTTTCCCCCATCTAGGTACTGGTGGTGTTTGTTGTTGTTTTGTTTGTTTGGTGTTTTTTTTTACTGTTTCAGTGAGTATTTAGGCGGCACGGTGGTTAGCACTGTTGCCGCACAGCAAGAAGGTCCTGAGTTCAATTCCAACACCAGGCCAGGGTCTTTCTGTGTGGAGTTTGCATGTTCTCCCCGTGTTTGCATGGGTTCTCTCCGGGTACTCCGGCTTCCTCCCACCGTCCAAAGACATGCAGCTTGTGGGGATAGGTTAATTGGAAAATCCAAATTGTCACTAGGTGTGAATGTGAGTGTGAATGGTTGTCTGTCCCTGTGTGTTAGCCCTGCGACAGACTGGCGACCTGTCCAGGGTGTACCCTGCCTCTCGCCCCATGACAGCTGGGATAGGCTCCAGCGCCCCCCGCAACCCTGAAAAGGATAAGCGGAAGCGAATGGATGGATGGATGGATGTTTCAGTGAGTATTTAATGGTTAGAATATCGGATTTTCTGGTGTCCCTTAAAGCCTCTCTGTTTCAGGTCCTGTTTCTTTTGTGTGACCACAAGATTTGGTTTTGCTTTTTAGAAATGTAACAGTTTCAACTGAAATGTTTGAAAACAAAAACACACATAAAGACAGGAGACTACATTATAAGGATTTTATTTAAGAATTAATCTTGAATTTTAATTTCCATCTTCTAGATCAGGAAACAGGGAACCATCAGGTTCACTGCAACTTTGTGCAGCTTGACCAGTCTGCAGTCAGTTCGCTCTTTGGTTGATGGCTTCCTGCAGTCTCATTTGAGGCTGTGTTAAGGAATAAACATATATTCTTAGTGCTTATTTTCTGATTATATTGTTTTATGTATTTTAGTAATAAAGGTTTGTAAAGCAAGGCCACTTTTGACTCAAACTAAGTGCTCAGCCAGACTGTAAAACAGGAAGTTAGTGTAGAGCTATACAAGCATATAAATAAAAACAGGAAACCAGACAAAAAGAGGAACTAGTAACATATAAGGAGTGTTTGTATCCAAACTATGTCTGACGTGTAAAGTACCAAAATAACACCTGTATGAGACACATTTTTAGCTTCTAATGTTAGAGATTCTGCAACTGGCTTTGGGCTGTGCAGGGCTCTCTCTTCCGGAAGATGATTGGATAAAGAAATATAAATGTTTTGACCACTCTGAGTCGGGTTTTCTCTGTTCTACCATGGGGATCAAAGAATCGGGTTTAATAGCTGACTCTTTCGATCTTTGATAAAGTGTGTGATTATGATATGATGATGTGATCTAAAGATAAAGATGGGAAACGTGTTCCTTTTTCTCCGTTTACTGAACTCGACTGACATTTATCCTAATAATTTTCACTTACCAAGTTTAGAATTTTTATGAATTATAAGCAGTGATAATGACTGAGAACCTTCACAGACAAACAGTGATAATCAAAATTCAAACAAAGAAAGGGCTTAAAATATTTCACTTCATGCATTAAGAATGTACAACTCTATGTAATTTATGACCAAAAAACCTTTTCCACAATTTTCTTTTTTTGGGGGGGTTCCGATTGGTTCTTATATAGCACTTTTCTAGCTTGAGTGCTTTCTATGCAACATCCGCACACACATTCACACTCTAATGAAAATATTAGCTAAGTGTTTTATTTTATTTACTGATTTACACAGAGGGCTTTACATTTACATTAGGCTACATTTTATAAAGCATGAAGACTCCTGTTTGTAGTGTCCCTGGAGACACAGACCTCTATCACTGGATTAGCATGTTGCTGAGGTAACAAGCTATCAGCTACATTGTTAACAGAGCAACAGCCAATAATAAAGAAGAAACTCCAGTAAATGAACTTACGTCTCTGTTCCTCATTGTTTCCTGTTGTCTATATTTTGGCCACCAGATGGTGCCCTGTCTATGTCAGTAACATGAACACAGGCAAGTGGAGCAGGTGTGAAAACAGCTATTGGCAAATATAGAAAATAAATACAGTTAAATGTTTCCATCAAAGAGTCGCAATTTAAAAATACTTGGCCAATTCTTTCCTCAGTTTAGAATTGTGTAAATTGAGTATATGGACATTTTTAGAAGAACTGATCTCTTGTCTGACAGATGAAGTGTCAGATTCCATACAGAGGGGATTTTGTGATGATAACAAGCACAATTTTCCGAACTTATTTACAGACGAATTTTTTGTCTTCAATATAGTTTCGATATAAAAATCCAATATGGCAAAATTTTAAATGTGACAGAAATGATGATGATTACTTAACTGGTGAAAAGAAACATTTTCTTTCTTTCTTTTAAACTAGCACCCTGCCTCAACTTACAAACATGTTGTTTGTAATCTGTCAAAGACTAAATGCAAACAGATGCAAAAATTGGCAAACAAAATGCAATAAATTTAGTAAAACAAGCTACTCCAGCCACTATTTTCTTATATCTCCCTACCTTTAAAACTGTAGTTGTTCAGACAGCAGATTTTTAATCATAATGGAGAAAAAACAGGTAGTCCTGCTCTGAGTCTTGCTCAAAGCTAAATAAATGATATTTTTCTAAAGTAATGACATAAACCAAAAGATTTATGTGTCTAGGTGTACAGGTGTAAACACAGCAACACTTCTGTCCTTGTTAATGAGATATTACAGAGAAAGAGACTGCACCTTAAGGAAATCCACAGACATCTACACAGTTTGTATATTAGAACAATAACAGACGTGCCAAATGGCTTTATAGGTTAAATAAAATATGTCAAATGCAAATAGGAGATGACCAAAGACTTTATTTCTGTTTGGCAGAATTTAACAAACAATCACCGGTAAAACATATACCAAAAGAAAAGTCATGTGATCATATTGGAGCAAGGCTGTGAGATGGAGTTAAGGGCATGGGTTAGTCTATATAAAAAGTTGAAATCATCAGATGCCACAAATCAGACAAAGTAAAGAAAAAGAAAAAAAAAACTAGAGGATTTTATACACCTTCCTGCAGGAAATGACTGCTGTGCAAAGCTTTCACCCCCGGCAAGCTTTTCAAGACAAACATTCATCAGGAGAGCTGCTCTGTCTACAAACTGTTAGCTGTTAGAAAATATTCCAGAATAATCTCTTAGCAGCTTTGTGATATAAACATGAATGTACAAACTACTGTTAGTGGATTACCCGTGATATATATAAAAAACATATTTACAAAGTAACCTTTGAAAAGAATTTTTTTTTACTCAGAATTATAAGGCCTATTTCATGTAAATTAAC